CCTATATTTTCCGTTGTTAAGATTAAAAGTTACATCTAAAAAGTTTACTATGCGTAAATTTGATTCGGCGGTGATTTTTAGGTCAAACAGCTCGAAAATTTTGTGGAGTTCTTTCCTTGTTTTGTCTGCTAAACGTGCCGATTTACTTTTTATAAGGGCCAAACCGGCGTCTCTATATAGGCCGATGCTTTCTTTGCCAAACTTCTTACTTAGGTGATTTAGGATGAAAAGGCCAACTAATTCACATATTTCGGCGCCATCGTGGCTGCCCATGGTAACGTCAAACAAACCTTCACTATCTTTTTTAGTCCATGGTTTTCCGGTGTTGAAAAGCACAGATTTTCTGGCGTGTTTTATGATCAAAATATCATTATCCGAAATGGTAGTTAAATTAGAAGCCCAAGATAATGCTTGGTCCAAAAGCTTTTCCGAAATGGATGGGTAAAAATCAACGATATCAAACGAAATAAAACTATGTCTTTCTTTGTCTTTTATATTTCCAAACCATTCAATTACTTGTTTTGTATTTCTCCACTGGTTCAAATTCAGTTTTTGTCTCAAATTGGAGTTAATTTCATCTAAAATAATTTTGCTCAATTTTCCTGATTCGCTTTTAGCGGGATTAATTAGCCGACATTTTGGATTGTTCTCGAAATTTTCTTTGTAGTCTTTTAAAGATATAAATGCTTCACGTTTTTTCATTTTTTCAATTCTGTCGCCGATTCCTAAATTGTTCGAAATGTTTTTTAATTCAGAGTCAATTTCGTCTATAGTGTCCTCGGATCCATGTTTATATGTTTTGGTAATGTTGTCATGTAAGAGCTTGTTGTATGTGTCGAGCGAGGCTTCATAAATATTTCTAGTTTTGTCTGCAAAAATGAAAATGTTGGGAGATCAATTAATTTTCTTCAAATCGTTAGCCAAAGATTTCTGAAAATGGTTTTTCCCTGATCGAAATTGTATATTTTCGATCAGTTTTATAAGGTCGGTTTCGAAAGGTTTCATTTCCGGAATCGAAGATGGTGTTTTGTTGGACGCAAGGCCGAAATGGTTGATTTGGTTCTTGTTGATACTGTTTTTATTAAAGAAATGAGCTTTCCATCTCATACGTTTTATTACACTTTCCACTTTTTCAATCAAATTCTTCAAATAAGCGTCCTGCGATGGTATAGGAATATTCTTTAATGAATAGTCAAATCGAAATTGTCGCATTATGAAGTTAGTAAGGAATGAGAAACGTAAACTAGAGTGCACAACCGATATACGGGTGCGAATGTACGAGTAGGTTTGTGTATACGAAACGCAAAGAGTGCTCAATATCATAAAGATAGAGCAAATGTAGAATTTCGCTTACCTCAAAATTCCGCAACAGTCTGTTTCATCAGTAAAGAATCATCAGGCGGTGATGAAACATTTACTGATGAAACAGACTGTTGCGGAATTTTGAGGTAAGCGAAATTCTATATATATATATATATATATAGCTTAAGGTTTTGGTTTACGAAACACAAACAGTGCTCAATGCCATATAGATAGAGCGTAATATAGTTTTTAGTTTTTCGTTTTACCTCAAAAAACCACAACAGTCTGTTTCATAACAGACTGTTGTGGTTTTTTGAGGTAAAACGAAAAACTATATATATACATACATATATATATATATATATATATATATATATATATATATATATATATATATATATATATATATATATATATATATATATATCTTTCTTTCTGCTTACGCTGGGTATGGAAATTATATAATACACACCCGAGAACATTTTCACCTTAACATATTACGGAGTGTACAATTACACAAGGTGAAAATGTGATAAGGTGAAAATGTTCTCGAGTGTGTATTATATAATTTCCATACCCAGCGTAAGCAGAAAGATAAAGTGTGCCGCGGCTTGTTCTTGAACCCGCGACCTTCGAATTACTAGATCGACGCTCTACCAACTGAGCTACACGGTCAGACGGATTTAAGACTGGAAATTATGAAATACATACTGAATGTCATAAACATACTCGTTTATATTTATTCAGCATCGAACAATACTAGTTCTGCAAGTGTTAATAAATTATTCCATAAACCTACATCAATTAACAAGCGCATTGCACTGCTTTCATCAGATGAGCAAACATTTATGGAATCTGCACCTGCCTACCAAAACGCACTTTACCATAGCAACTTCAATCATGATCGGCTTAACTACACTCAACACGCACCACAGCAAGCACGCAGAAATAGGGAACTGACGTAATATCATTTGGTTCAATCCACCATTTAGCATGAATGTCAGCACTAATATAGGGCGTAATTTTCTTAACCTTATTGACAAGCACTTTCCATTGCACCACAAGCTGCATAAGATCTTTAACAGAAATACAGTAAAAGTAAGTTATAGCTGCATGAGCAATGTTAAGTCTATAATCACTAAGCACAATGCACATATAGCTAGGAAGAACAAGGCACAGGGCAAGGGCACTGTCAATTGCAGTTGTTCGAAAAACGAAACATGCCCACTTCAGAAACAATGCATGACTAAGGACATAGTATACAAAGCAACAGTCACAACAAGCAACCCTAACACGATCATGAATTATATTGGCATGACATCAACTACATTTAAAGAGCGTTTGGCTAACCATAACTATACTTTCGAGCATAAAGAGCACTCAAACAAAACAGAACTTTCGAAATATATTTGGACATTGAAAGATAGCAAGAAAGATTTTAATATCAATTGGCAAATTTTGAAACGCGCTATTTCGTATACGGGAGGATCAAAACGTTGTAATTTATGTTTAGAGGAAAAATTTTGTATTTTGAAAGAAAACCAAAACCGTTTACTCAATAAAAGAATGGAAATTATATCTACGTGCAGACATAGGAAGAAATTTCGCGTAAACAACGCAAACAATACACTCCCACAACTCGATTAGGCATTTCCGCGTAAACAACAATATATATATATATATATATATATATATATAATTAGTATATATATATATATATATATATATATATATATATATATATATATATATATATATATATATATATATATATATATATATATATATATATATATATATATATATACAAACAGGTTATAACACAGCCACGACTCCAAGTGAAATTATTTAATAAAAAAATATATATATAGCTTTATAAAGCGCCATATATATATTTTTTTATTAAAAGTAGAAAAGACAACAATTATAAAGCTCTACTAATATTAGTGTTGAGCACTCTTCATACTACTCAGTGCGTATATACACTCTAAAAACACTCTGGTTAAATTTGGGTTAATTCAACCAGTACGGGGTTAAAAATCCACCTACACAAGTCTGGTTAAAAAAAATTAACCATTTTCCTGGTTAAAAGTCCAAAAAAGTGCACCAAATTTTTGTTGAATTGATAATTTTTAACCAGGAAATGGGTTAAATTTAACCAGAATGTGTTGGGTGGATTATTAACCCAATTCCTGGTTGAATTTAACCAGAGTGTTTTTAGAGTGTATATATATATATATATATATATATATATATATATATATATATATATATATATATATATATATATATATATATATATATATATATATATATATATATATATATATATATATATATATATATATATATATATATGAATATATATATATATATGAATATATATATATATATGAATATATATATATATATGAATATATATATATATATCTATATATATATATATATATATATATATATATATATATATATATATATATATATATATATATATATATATATATATATATATATATATATATATATATATATATATATATATATATATATATATATGAATACATTCTCTAACGTGACTATCGGCTTGAATGCTGTATATATATGCTATATATATATATATGTATATATATATATATATATATATATATATATATATATATATATATATATATATATATATATATATATATATATATATATATATATATATATACACGTTGGGGATTTTTTACCGTGAAAACGCTCGCGCACGAAAGCGAGGCTAGGTTCGCCATATCGCGCATATCAAAGATATGTAAAAACAAAATGGCGACTAATACTCCTAGCGCCAGTAATCTAAATTTGTTTGTCGAAGACGTTTTGTCAAACGGGAAAGCAAAATACCTAAAAGATTTAGCAATAGGAAGTCCGAAATATATGGAATCTTCGAGAATGTTCGACAATCTGTTAAAGATAGCAGGTGGCCTTTGCAAAGAAGTGATTCCCGAGGACGAATTCGAAAAATTGGAGCATCACATGTGGAAATACACCCGTTTGCCGTTCGTGAAATATCGATTTGGCATTGGCAAATTACGAGAGCGCTGAGAAAGAATGCTTTTGTCCAAACTGGGTGGAAAATAATTCTTGTAAGAGATTTACCGTGCAAAATTTTTGAACATATTGTGCGCATATGCACAGCAAATACTTGCTTTGCGAACAAAACAACTCGAACAACAGTGGAACACGTCGTTGAATTTACCGACATGAGGAAGCTTTTGTATATATTTAAACAAGCTGCTGGTATCCACAAAGATTTGAGGAAAACCTTTGCCCACTTGGGGGTAGCTAAAGCCATTGTATCTCAAGAAAAGCCATTTAAACTTTCATACAAGGTGAAGTGGGTATAGTTATAGACGATAGACTTAGCTGGAATAGGCAAAATGAAGAACAATGCAACAAGATACCAAAAAATATTAATCTTTTAAGAAAAGCCAAAGATTTTGTTGGCCTAGATACGCTCAAAATTATGTATAACGCATTAGTCGCGCCTCATTTTAACTACTGTTCAACTGTTTGGCAAAATAACAACCAAACACACTTAGACAAATTATATAAGCTTCAGAAACGAGCAGCAAGAATAATAACTAATTCGGACTATACTATAAGATCTTCGGACATTTTTCAAAAACTTAGCTGGAAACCTCTTGACTTAGTTTTGAAAAAGCGAGATCTCCTTATGACATTTAAAGCGATTAATGGCATGCTTCCAGAATACGTAACACAACTATTTCACACTTGCGAAAACAATGGTTACGTACTGCGCAGTAGTAATTTAAAGCTGTCTCAACCTAAACCAAAAACGAATTTCTTGAAAAATAGCTTTTCGGAAAGAGGAGCAGCGTATTGGAACAACATCCCAGTAAACTTGTTGAAAACCCTAAGAGAGTCAAGAAGTTTAAAATCTGTCCATCATCTATTAAATAATTACATCTTGTAAATAAGTAAATAAGTAAATAAGTATATTTTGTAAATAAGTATAATTTAGTTTATTAGTTCCTTCTTTTATAATGCATTTATTTTCCGCACGGCCCTTTGAAAATCACCTATGTGAAAGGTTACCGTGTTTAAAGATCAATAATAATAATAAAAAAATGAACAATTGAAAGTCCAATGCCACTATGGATTTTGGAACAGCCATGGGGTACCACAGTTTTAGAACAATCCATTTTAAAATGAGAATTCAGAATACAAAGACAACCTTTAATATTGTTTTTTAAGTTTTGTTATATTGCTGTATTCCCATGTGCAATATGTTTCAGTGATTTTTAGCTAGCTACTTAATAACAATTGCCACATGCAGGAAGGTTAGCTAATAAATGCACTAGCCAATACCCCAACCTCCCAATCCATACCTCATGTATCCGGTATCCCTGTATGTTCAAACAGATTGCACGGTATTTGGTTCAAGCGGTTAGGTCATGAAATTGTTAAGATCGCGACAAGCCTGATACAGGCACCATACCTTTCACAAGGACTATAGGAATATTTTTAGATACTTATAATAAAGTTTGAAGAAAAATTGTGACAAGGAAAGTGACGTATTAACTTTGTTGAACCATAGTGTTTTCCTGAAAATCTGTTGTTAATAATTGTAACTTAAATGATTTTACCGAGACATTTTGGTCTAACTACAACAGGTTGAAAAGGACAAATTATTATAATCCACTAATGCCCACCGTACAGGTGGAACCCCCTGATTGCATATTTTATGGCACCCTTTCTGAAATTCATCTCCAGGCTAAATAGATGGATTTCCGAAGGGGTGTAGTATCTGACCTATCAACTATTGTTCCCTCAGTGGCGTAGCCAGGCCCATGGGCCCTGCCCCCCCCTCCCCTCCCCTCCCACTGAGAAAAAGTTGCCCCCTGCTTGGTACATCTACCGTTTGTATGCTTTGGTTCACTGCTCTGCTTTCTCTTAAGCGATGGGACTAATTTTCATTCTCATTTGATGATGGTGCTATACTACATATCTCACAGAAAGCTGTTGACCTTTTAGATTCCTAGCAAGCCCTAGAAATAAAACACTTATTATTTCACAGGTTTCTTATAATTTTTCCGAATGATCTTCCCTAGCAAAACAAAAGCAGTCAAATGCCACATTGACACAT